GCGTGTGCTTTTAGCCAATCAGAATCCATTACAGAAACGTGCCCATTGAAAAAGGTCTCCCGTGAATAGTGGGGTACCCAGTAGGCTTTGCGAGCAAAAACGAGGTCTCAAAGACTTCCTTCGTTTTCGGTCTCTTGTGAACTTCATAGCGGTTAACTATTCTCACACTTTCAAGAGACAATGCAGAAACAATAGAAGTAGGTTGCCATTGTTTTAAGTGTTTGAATGTCTTTGTCATTGCTACAAAGAAGAAAATGTTTATGCGAAGAGAAGCATTTTTCCTCCTCGTGCACTAACATAAAACCCTCGCGAATTCGGTAGTCTCGTGCGAATCGTTTCGATGGCAAAACAGTTAAAGCTAATCAGAAACCAAAGTATTCTTCACTTAAAAACTCATCTTCACGAAAGGCACTCAATAAGATTGAATAAAGATGTTTGCAGCGTTTATAAATATTATTATCAGAAGCGGTATTGTAGTTGTTTTCAAGAGACTGATTAGATCGCTGTTTAGCATTACGGAATCGCGCCTGTAGATACGCGTCGCTAGTAAATGCAAATTTTTCTGTTAGTCAAATGTGTCCTATTATTTGTAGGTGGAAATTGGTAAAACATCGTTATTGTTTTGGAGACAATAGAAGAACAAAAGATAACAGAGAGATCAAGTTATGCGGTCTTAAAGCGTGTTGCGTGACTTAAATCAGTTGGAGCATTTCTCCTAGCTTTCCCGCATTAAAACGTTGGAATGAAAAGTCTGAAGCTTAGCTTTTAAAATCTTGATAGCCAAAATAAAAGGGGTGCCCCAAAAGTCAAGCATTTGGGAATTCAATATCGATATTTTTGTCTCCAGCGAAATCCGGCGGATGAACAGTAATTTGCATATAAGCGTAAGTGAAGCGACAGGGGCACCCAACGACAATTTTCGGAAAAATATCTGTTCGGAAGACCATTTGAGATCTAGAATTTTCGGAACATTTGTTGTAAAATTTCTTGCTTGCCTGCTTCTCCTAGGGTTTTCGAACATCTAAAATATGGTATAATTGCCTATTTTTTAACCGATTTTTACCCTAAAAAGGCCACCTAGAGTTTTCGGGAGCTTTTTTTCTGGCTGACATTTTCGAAAAGGTAAGTTTCGATCCCTATAATTTTCGGATCACTAGACTTTCAGCTAGGAAATCCGAACAGATGAAAAATTTTTGGGGATAAAAATATGCCTATATCTGCCGTTTAAATACCAAAATACGTTTATCAATGCTATGTTTTTAGTGGTTTTGAACTATATTCTCGTTGGGTGCCCCTGAAGCGAAATAGATACAAATTGCCGTTGTTGTAAACACAACGTTTCCTCGAAGTTTTTTTCCTTTTGAAAGTGTAAATTCGCATGAAAGAGCTCAGCTTGCACAAAATAATATAAAATGAAACGAATCAAATCGAAAAGTGGTAAAAAAAAGTCAGGATATTTCAATTCGATGGGAAGTAAGTGATTGGGTAGGTGATTTGCATACTGATAAAAATAACGTCTAGCGCCGTTCAAAACCGTTCGGCTTCCTGAATTGTTTTCCTGGAATTCTATACATTCTGCTGGCCTAAATCGTTAAAATATGTTATGAAGTCAAAATATTTATCAAGTTGAGCGTTTGCATTTCGATCTATAGATTTTCTTAAGTTAAATTACCTTTGTATCGTGGAAACAATACCCTAATAGTCTAGCGGTTAAGTGCAAATCTGAGGAGAATTGTGCCTTTGATGATAAAAGCACGATTTTTGGCACAGAGATAATAGAGATCTTAAAAAACATTTTTTGATATAGGGCCATCCCAGATTAATCACGTGACCTCCATTACATTTATCTAAAAATGACGTCATCGGGGGCGAACTTTTTGCTTCATTTCAAGTAGAAATAGAGTAGTATTGCGTCCACTTTTTCATAAAATCCTTATTTTTCCCCTCCCATACATCTAAAAATAATGATATTTTTGGAATGGTAGCTGTAAATCACCGATGGTGCTATATTTCAGTTTTTATCCTTCGGGAAAACATAGAAGTAACGTCGTGATAGTCAAAATGGTCTTGAGGCAAAACATCACTCGCTCATAGAGAAGAGTCTTGGGCATTTTAATATTATGCACTATAAATGAAAATAAAAGAAAGCGTTATGTGAATTTCGCACTCGGGGAAATTTCGTAGCATTTAAGTGAAGTCCATCTCGACCGCTGTCCCTAAGATTACATTCAATGCTTTAGGAGAATAATTCAGTCACTACCAGCAATGTAAGTATTAAGTTTTATCTTATTTAACTGAGTTTAAAATTAGATTAGATTGTTTCTTTCATAGCCAAGAGATAAAGTTAAATTGACTTGACTTTTTTTAAATAAAAAGTTTTATATCGCTCACTCCAACACGTGCTATTTAACTTCGGTAGGAAAATTAACAGCAACAACAACTTGACGGCTTTTTATCTCAAGATATTTATGATTGCTTGTCAGTTTGAGCTTAAGTTTCGTTCGTTTCGTCCAAAGTTAAGCAAAATGTTTCTGTTAGCCTGTTTTTAGCGAAACGTTTTTCAGTCAGAGAACGTTTTTTAGTATTAGTTTAACAATCCTGGCTTTTACTGTTAAAGTGAATTAAACAATTAAATAAAACACCTAACCAAATTTTTCCTTGCGAGAAAAAAGAATTGGAACGTGAGCATATAACTCACTTATTTAGTTTGTTATTGGTTGGGAACATTTCCTAGTGTTGTGTAGTCTAGTATTTATACATTGAATAGCGGAAACAATTTTGTATATGATATATATCTTCATAATTTTAAAGAACATGGTTACATATTCAAAAAAGGTATACTTTCAGTCTTTTTAATATTTCATGAATTTCGGCTTTTCAGGTGAAAGAAAACTCTTCACTGCAAGCCGCCATAATTTTGATAGTAAAATGTAGCTATGGCAAAAGTTTACAAGGTTATCAATGACCCTTTACAACCTGCAACGGAAGCTTCTGATACGTCGTGTTTACCAGTAGATTGGAACAAGTGTATTTTGTGTCAGACAGACACATCCGAAATCCTGTCTTGTCCGGCTGATTCTAAGCGTATCACGAAAGGAGCAGGTTATAAGACTGTGGCAGAAAATCTTCAAGCTTTTGAGAAAATTGGTTCTTTGCCTAAAACAATAAATCTGTGCCGATTAAATGAAGGAGAAGGAATCGAAGCGAGTTTCCAGAAACATAAAGCCAAATGGCATGACTCGTGTAGACTGAAGTTCAACAAGACAAAACTCCAACGGGCAGAAAAGAGAAAAGCAGCTCCAGATGATAGTTCAAGTTCAAAAAGCCCTAGAAAATACACGCGTAGAAGCCTTGAAAAGTTACCAAACCCTATTCATCAATGCTTCTTCTGTGGTAAGCAAGCTGAAGGTGAAGACTCCTTGCACAGAGCATCGACACTTGAGCTTGATGCCCGAGTTCGTCACTGCGCTTTACAGTTACAGGACAAACCTCTATTAGCCGAACTGAGTGCTGGAGACATGGTAACTCAAGATGCTGAATATCATGTCAAATGCCTTGTTTCCCTTTATAACAGAGCACGAGGAACCGAAACATATAGTGCAGAAAGTGATGCGGATGCCGTTAATCACGGCATTGCTTTTGCTGAACTTGTTTCTTATATAGAAGATGCAAGAATGGACAATCTGGTAGCCCCAATTTTCAAATTGTCTGACCTAGTCAGTCTATACAGTAACAGGCTTAAACAACTTGGAACAGAAGTAGCGGGACGCATCCACTCAACTAAACTCAAGATTAGAGTGTTGAGCTACTTTTCAGACATGGAAGCTCATACCCAAGGCCGTGAAGTTATTCTGGCTTTCAACGGGGATGTTGGTGCCGCACTGAGAAAAGCATGTGAACATGACGCTGATGGGGATGCTGTTCATCTTGCTAGGGCTGCCACTATAGTGAGAAGAGATATGTTCAGTAAGAAAATGGAATTCAATGGCTCATTCTCCACTACTTGCCAGGAACAGTCTGTGCCTAATTCACTGCTAGCACTGGTTACTATGGTACTTAATGGACCAAATATCAAATCACGTTCCTCCAATGTGTCTCAGGCTGCCCTTTCTCTGTCTCAGCTTCTTCTATACAACAGCGTGAAGCGCTACAAGGAAAATGATACAGATATTGTCCGACACAGCCAACAACGAGAAGCACCTCTACCAGTCTATTTAGGTGTGATGCTTCATACAAAGACCAGGAAACGTGAACTTGTGGACGCTCTTTTTAATCTTGGCTTGTGTATATCGTATGACCGTGTATTAAAAATCTCCACTGAGTTGGGAAACAACATTTGTTACTACTATCAGCAGTAAAAGGTTGTCTGTCCCCCTCGACTGAAAGGTGGTATTTTCACCACCGCTGCAGTAGACAACATTGACCACAATCACAGCTCAACTAGCTCTCACGACTCATTTCATGGAACTGGGATATCCCTCTTTCAGCACCCCACTGAGAAAAACAATGACGAAAACAGTGGAGTTCAGCTGCCTGCTGACGCAATTCAGGACAATATACGTGCACAAAAGAAGGCATTAATGCTACCAGAGTTTTACTCAACGGTGCCTCCTGTCGCTTTGCGTAGGGACGGCCCACCCATCCCACAGCTTCAAGGGCCCAACAAAGGAGAGTGCCAGCGCATTCCTGAAGAAACAGTGAAGGAATACCGGTACAGTTGGCAAAAATCTTTTTTTTGACATTGCTTTCCTAGGTGACTGTAACTGCAGTATTAATAACTACAAAACTGATATTTTATTTGTACAATTTACAGGTGGCTGCAAGAGGTAAATCGAGTAGTAACTAATTAGACCGTAAAAGATGCTGATGCCGTTTCCTGGTCTGCATACCGTGCAAGTCTGCAACCTTCTAGTAAATTATCCGAATGCTGCGTCACAGCAACCTCTCTACTGCCTCTTTTTCATGATCAAGCCCACTCCGTAGCCATGATCCGCCACTCAATGGACATTGTTAGCAAAGCAGTACAGAGTTTAAATCCTGGTCAGGTGCCCATTATCACTGCAGATCAACCTCTATACACAATTGCAAAGCAAATCCAGTGGAACTGGCCAGGAACCCATGGTGAGGATAAGTTTGTGGTGATGTTGGGGGGACTGCACATTGAAATGGCAGCTCTGATGGCCATAGGAAATCTCTTAGACGGCAGTGGATGGGGAAGTGCTCTAGTACAAGCCGGTGTTGCTACGCCTGGGACGGCTGATTCATTTTGTCGCGTTACCCATGTGACACGTACTAGAAGAGCCCATCAGATCACGGCTGGCAGTCTGTTTGTACTTCTTGAAAAGGCTTATTCTCAGTATCTTGTCAGTCTGAGCGACTACCAGAATCCGCTGTCATTAGAAGAGTGGTGTTCGCACAGTGCAGAGCTTTATCCACAGTTCAAGTTCTGGTTGCTTATCCTGCAGATGCAATTGGCCGTATTGATCTACATTAGAGCTATTAGAGAAGCTGACTTCGAGCTGTACGTTGACGCACTCACGCAAATTGTTCCGTGGTTCTTTGCTCTAGACCAAATTCACTACGCTAGATGGATCCCTGTTCATTTACGGGACATGGTTACACTGAAAGACGTTCATCCAACTGTTTTTGCTGAGTTCATGAAAGGAAATTTTGTTGTAAAGAAGACAGAACGCAGATTCTCGGCCATAGCAATTGATCAAGCGCATGAACAGAACAATGCTTCTGTGAAAGATGACGGAGGAGCTGTTGGCTTAACGGAAAATCCGGCTGCATTGCGGCGGTGGATGGTATCTGGACCAGAGATGGCCAGAGTTATTGAAGAGTTTGAAGCATCAACAGAGAAGAGAAAATGTTTAGATTTCCGTCATCATGAGGAGGCCAAACACGTGCAGAAAAAATTTACACAAAATGTTAAAGATCTCGCCAAAGCCATCGAAGAAATGGGAAATCCATTCACCGAGAACAGCAACGATCTTCTTGTTCTGGACAGTAGAGACCTTGCAGATCCAGCCATTATTGATTCTGTTCGTAAAATTTAGAAATTGGGACAAGAGCAGTATGACATCTATGTAGGAGAGAGGCTAGTCAATCAAACAAAGTCCGTCTGGAAGCCTATCAAGAAGAACAATTTGGCACTATTTAGCCGACCTCCAATCCGACAAAAGACAAAGTCGCAGCTACAGCTTGCTTCCCTGAAAAATGACTGCTCCCTCTTTTCACGTCTTTACGTTGCATCACAGGTCCGCAATGGGAATCTTGATGAATTTTTCAAGCATGAGAATCAGGCATACCCTCCAGCATTATCACAAAATGGCAAGCTGAGAACCGGTACTAAGTCTGACCTTGTTAGTTGTCTGGAAGAACTGGTTAATTCCCGCGAGAATGCCACTCATCCCATTGTGGAAGTTATCATCCTCGATGGCTCTGTCCTTGTAAACATGCTTCGACCAGGTTCAGCAAAAACTTTCTCGGATTATGCTTCGCAAGTTTTTCTTCCATACGTAGCGTCCCAGCTGCAGCAAGCAAGTAGAGTTGACATCGTTTGGGATGAGTACCGCCCTGACAGTTTGAAAGCTGAAACGAGGGTTAAGAGAGGAAAGGGAGTTCGAAGACGCGTAAAGGCTTCAACACCAATTCCAGCACACTGGCAAGAGTTTTTGCGCACTGATGAAAACAAAGTAGAACTGTTTAGTTTTCTAGCAAAAAGAGTGCCATGCATCGAAACCGAAAAGCAAGTTCTCAGCACTATTCAGTCTGATGTAGTTTGCACTCAGTCAAAAAATGTTTCGAGGCTTACCCCATGTACACACGAAGAGGCAGATACCAGGATCATCTTGCACTTGGAGGACGCTGTCACTGAAGGATTTAACAAAATATCCATTCGTACCGTTGACACCGATGTAGTGGTTTTGGCAGTGGCAGCAGCACAGCGCCACAGAAACACTGAAATCTGGATCGCTTTTGGTACAGGAAAGAGTTTCCGCTTTCTGGCCGCTCATGAGATGGCTAGAATACTGGGACCAGACCGATGTATTGCCTTGCCGATGTTCCACGCCTTTACTGGGTGTGACACTGTTTCATTTTTTGGAGGAAGAGGTAAACGAACTGCCTGGGACACGTGGAGATCCTACAACGATATCACATTGATATTCGTCTCTTTGGCAAACACCCCAGAGTCTGTGGAGAGCTCAGTTACATCACTGGAGCGATTTGTGATTTTGCTGTATGATCGCACCAGCAGCCTAGAAGACATCAATCAGGCCAGGAAACACCTCTTTGCGCAAAAAGGGAGGTCGATCGAAAACATTCCACCGACGAAAGCAGCCCTGGTACAGCACATCAAGCGGGCAGTCTATCAAGCTGGTTATTGCTGGGCACAAGCGACGACTTCAAGCCCTGATCTCCCATGCCCTAGTGAATGGGGCTGGAAAAGAAAGGAGCCATGCAGCTGAGAAGCCAACTGGACCTCACTGCCAGAAGCAACGGTGGCCTGCAGAGAACTTTTGAGGTGTGGTTGCAAGAAAGGTTGCAAAAAGAACTGCAAATGCTCAAAGGCTGCTCTGCAGTGCACAGCTCTATGTCAATGTGGTGGACAATGCACTGAGAACTAGGATTTTTCATGGTGAAACAGCATTGAATTCTATACTTTCTACGCTTTCTATTACATATAGCTTTTATTCATGGTAGTAAGGATTTCTTAGAACGAAAGTCGTTTTTTTTCCATTTCTAAAGTGGTGTTTTTAAAACAGCAGGAAACCAGTTTTTCTATACGAATCTGTTCCTATGTTCGTACCAAGCTCTATAATCGAACATTTGCAATAGTTTTTTCTACACCATCATGTTGCACTTTTGTCATGTGTATCATAATTTGGTATAAGAGAACCAAATTCTGTATTATTCTTACTTTTACCCCATGCTTACACCTCATTTAGTGCTTACATGACGTTTTTAAGTAAAAAGGTTGTTGCCATGACAACAGTAAACGGCTGCGATGTGAGTATTGTGATGAGGACACAATAAATACGGTGTAAGAAGCATCCTGACCTTAAAGTGTAATTTACTTCGTTAACTGCTATAGATTTATTAATGGTAAATGTAAAAAGGCCACGCCCTTTTTTAAAAACGCCGCCATGTTGGTCACGTGACTAATCTGCGATGGCCCTATATCTAAATTTTTTTAAAAAGATATGAGCTGCAAGTGTGCCAAGTTCCATTCTTTTATCATAAAAGGCACAATTTTTACTCCCAACTGCTGGACTATAACACTTGAGTCTTGAATCAAAGGACGCGACATGCGTCGGCTCCCTTTGTGAGCGCGCAAATAGTCATGGGACCCGCGATTTTGCGGGCGACACGGATCTACAGGCGCCGTTCCGTAATGGGTTTGGCCATTAAATATGTAGTTATCGCGTTCTTAAGTAAGTATCGCTCTTAATTTTGCCTTATACTTTGTTAAAATCAATATCTTAAATGAAGAATGTAAGTGAGAGTGCTTTTTCTTCGAATTTGCCCATAAATTTTAAGGTTTATAATATTATCCAAAACCCGCGACAAAATGTAAACAAACTATTAACGCATCGGATGCGCTCATATTTCATCAATCGATTCTAACACCATGAACTTTGTAAAAGGTAAAAATTCGTTTTAAGTCAGTGCATTGAATTATTTACGGCAAAATCAACAACAATCATCGAGGATTTTTAAATTTTGAAGCGTTTAACAGCAAAAAGTCACACGCTAATTCGGAGTAAATTTAGACAGTTTTTAAACAGACTGAGCTATTGTTAGTCGCGTGAAGTTCTATTCTTCATCGAAGAATAGCCAAATGTTGCGGATGTCTGAGCAGGAACAATAACCAGGAAAGGAATATACCCGGGGAATTTTTTGATTGATACTAGATTAACGTCATTTTTCACTTATTTGCATTTTCACGATCGACGTTCTTGAACGGGCGCGTTTCTGTAATGGAGGAAAGATTTTGAATGAATAATAATCCCGTTTATCCTAAGTGGACACCCAACGTAGTTGTGTACTGTCGAATAGACTGCTTTGGAACTTCACTCTTCGTCTTTAATTTTTAGCCGACCCACTCTGTAAACAATAAATAAGAACAATGCTACCGAAAAATCATTACAACTGAGAACTTGATAGTTTACCAAATTTTCTTAGGTATGGAGCTCCACGCTCGCGCGCGCGGAGGCTCCGCTATAAATAATATAACTAATAAACTTGGAAAAATGTCATACGTTGAACTTACAGAATTTAGCAGTTGGTTAACTGTAATTGACTCTCAGCACAAGTGTCAATTAAATTCGATGATTTGCATATCGTTTTCTCTTGTGATAATAAGTTGAGCATCCGAGGGACAGCAATTGGAAAACGGGAAAGATTTCCAAGAAATTCCCTCTATCTCTCTATCAACTAGAATGTATTATATACTCGGCTTTGTTCTTTGCGACGTTAACGCAAAGTTAATCATGCTTTTTTAAGTATTGCACAGGCGCTTCCAAAGAAATTCGGGCCTTTTAGTTCTGACCTGTAAATGACGGTAAACAGGAGACATTTCCGGGAATTCCCTTTATTTCTTTGTGATCCCGAATGTATTGTACTCAGCTTTAATTTGTTCTTTGCGAAGTTAACACGAAGTTAACAATGCTTTACCAAGTATTGCATAGGCGCTTCCAAAGAAATTGTGACACTATGGTTCGGACCTGTAAATGACGGAAAAGATGACGTTGGCTGTCGGGAATTAAATCTGAACCCAGATAGTCTCTAGCTCGCACGTACTCAGATCTTTTCGGAGAATGACTTGAAGGTTATTTCTACAATAAATTGCGCAGCCGCCACCTTTGCATTTCTTTTGGTCTTGTCGAAACATCTTCATACCGTCTATGCGTATGTCGTTATTCAGAGACCGATTTATCCAGGTGCATTTCAGTGATACCAATAATATCAAAGTTACACTCAAATTGCAATGTCCTCCCATCTTGTATCTCATACTACAAATATTAGCTTGCGTTACACGTAGATCGTTAGGCACCGAGGCGAGTTATGAGGCTGTCTCGGGCGCATAATTATAGTTTACAACGATCCGTTCCGAGTCAGCCAGTTGGGATAATTGACTGGAATCTCGAGGAATTAAAATTCTCACCATACATTCTAACATTTAGCTCTCCTTCGTGTAGGAAATACATTAGAAAGTAGCATTTAAGTAGTAATTACGCGAATAACGATTTTGTAACACATCGTGGGCAGATCCAAGTTGTTATTGCGGATTGAAATTGCCGTTCAAATTTGGTCGCTTTAACTTGGCCGCACTGATTTAATATTATGTATCAGTATATACACACTCAGTGATCTTGGTAATTCAAGCAATGTGATTGGTTAGCTCTCTCGGAATATGAGGTTTTATTATATAGACACGAGTGTTTTTTTGGAAATTATACCACTCCTAAAATTCATAAAAACTACATCCGGGACCCAAGTGGTTTATTTTCCATAATCTCACACGTGAGTTTATCGATGACGTAATTTCGGTCATTTCCCTCTATTATATTATCGATGTCTTTTTGTCTATATAATAAAACGAACATTACACGGCGGCTTGAAGATATGAATTTTATTTTCTCGTGTCAAAAACAATATTTTACTCACTCGCTGCGCTCGTTCGTAAAATATTGTTTTGCCACTCGAAAATAAATTCATATCTTCTCGCCACCGTGTAATATCCTCTATATATTACCTTCGCCTTCGGCGAATAATTGTTAAGTATTGAACAGAAATTACAGCATAGCATTTGGTGGTTTTTGGCCAGTGTGTTTGTGCAGGTGGCACACTTAGTGTTCGAGGAACAACAATTTCAAAACGAGAAACATTTTTGAAATTCCTTTTATCTCTCCATCAGCCACCCGACAGTATCGTACATTGCTTTGCGAAGTTAACAAAAACTAAGCGGACGACAGATCAGAGACTTACTTCGAAATGAAGTCTCGATATTATTTAACTCTCGGAGTTCAAGGGGGGTGGATGCCACCCCCCCCCCCCCATAAGGTTTTTCTGAGTTTTTTTCTAAAGAATAAAACATCAGCACCTGACGTTTTCAGTAGCTGTACATTCCTCCGTCGCGCAGATTTTAAGGCAAGTTTAGTGATGGTCAGTTGCTATGGTTACGAGATAAGACGTCAAAGTAACAGGTGGTCAAGCCAATTTTGGGTGGAAAAAACAACTTCTTTTAACAATAGCAGTAAATCTTACGGCTAAAATTATGCAAAGTGCTTATTTATGTGTTATTTTTCGTGTAGAGCACAAAAAATTACCATTTCTGGCGGTTTTAACCTGGTTTCTAATTCTTGGTAAAATCCAAGAAGATCAAAGGCTGTCCACTTATGGTAAAATCGTAAAATCGTAAAATCGTAAAATCGTCCCCCCTCCTTGTACCACACTGGGGGAATGAATTTGCGTGTACGTCCGACTTTAAGTTGTTTAATCTTGTCCACATTTAATTAAATGTTTCAAGCAAAAGCTTCCAGAACGCAAAGTACATGTACGAGAAACCCAGGCGAGTCTGCTAAAAAAAATGTTAAAACTCCTCACTAGGTAATGTTTACCCTACCTGACAAGAGACGTGCGGTGATTGGTCCATAATATGCTGCGCCAGTATCAACACGAAGTTTTTCAACGCTCCTTGCATCATTTCAGTGAAGCAATTCAATCAAATTCTTTGGGCGTAGGACTAGTTAAAAAAAAACTGATCAAAAATTCCTAAATATAAAACTTAACACTACAAAGTTATTTCTATTAAAGTTAGTATCAGGAGTAAAACAAAAATGGGAATGATCGTATATTCATAGCCGAGTAAGGTTACATATTTGCTCTCAAAGTAACTACATGTAGAATTACTCATCAATTAATGAACGAGGCCGAGTAGGATATGAAGAATTAAACAGATCGAGGAGGGTGTTATCCACCGAGGCCGAACGCCGAGGTGGATAACACCCTTCGAGATTTTATCATTCATTCAAAATAAACATAGCTAAAACCTGCTTACCTGCATTGAATGTTAAGTTCATCTTCGATAGTGTACGTTTAGGTATTTCCAGCTCCGCAAATATTCTCTTAATAGCAGATGTCGCCCTCCGAGTTGTCTTCTCGCTGTTTTTGCCATGTTTCTAGTTATTATTTCGCCTAGTTCCAGCTGTAGTTCTTACTCTTGAAACGAGTGAAATGTCCGCCATTTTTTTTTGTCACACCCCAGGTCTTCTCGGTAACGGTGCCTTAACCTGTAGCGGGCGGCATTTTTGACGTCATTTCCTCGTCAAGCACAAAATTCTTCCAAATTTGGTCATCAGTAACTGGTTATGGTGAATTATGCGTATGCTTTTAGCCAATCAGAACAATGAGAATTGGGGAAATATTTTAATGAATAATAATAGTATTCAATGCATATATTAAG